GAATGTTTGAGTGCTAAAACCCTTACTTCGTGGAATGCACTCATTTCAGATAAAATAAAACGTTTTATTTTATCTAAAGAATTAAACTTTATTTTGCAAATAGGTAGGTACTTATTAAACTTTTATTGGTTATATATAACCAATAAAATAAACATCTTACATTTCTTGCAAATTCATTAGTACCTGTTAACCTCCATCACTCCGACACTGGCAACCTTATTTAGGGATTAGTAACCCTCACAAGTATTGTATTCTATTCTGCTCCAACCTTCATACCTGGTGGTCATACTCAATTTAAAATTGTTTTCCTATATACTTCTGTAAACTTATTGACAAATACCTGTTTTTCATTGAGTCACCCGTATCAACAGTTTAGGGATTTGCATACATAATTTATTGTTTTATTACTCTCTCATACATAAAAATACACTATAATCATAGATGTTGCTATCCAAATGTGTATATCCAAAATTCCAGAAACAATGCAATTACTATAAAAAACTTTTGACATAAATTGAGTTATGAATATAATTATATATAAGTATTAAAAATCTTACCTTAAAGCCTTTATACCATTCTTTAATTGTGCTCTCGTCATATCTAGTGTGCGATTTAAGAAAATCCATGTCCTCCTTGGACAATTTGTCCTTACTACCGAAACACCCCATGGTTCAGACCTTGAAGGTCTAACACCTGCAAAAGAAATACCAAAATATAAAATGTACTTGTTTAAAAACAGTTTTAAGAATTATGTCTACCACTGTACAAATTTTACCTATTAATTTTTCCAACGTGAAAAACATTACGCCCTAGTTATTTCTTTACTCGGTATAGACAAAGAAATTACCTACAAAATTCTTCTGATTTTGTAAATAAAGCAATAAACATTAATTCAGTCTTTCGACGAAATAGAATTGATATTTCTTTACTATAGAAAAAGTTACTTTCTAAGCTTTCTAAGATTCTAAGAAGAAATCTGTTAGGAACTTCCAAATTACTGTTAGAACCTTTTAAATAAAAACTAAAAATGTTTTTAGATAGTCGTTAGTCCTCAACAGAAAGTTTCTCGCTTGTCGTATGATTCTTTCGTTTTTAATCAGCAGTTTGACGTCCACTTGAGGTCAGTCTTACCTGTATTTGTTTTTTTTTTTTTTCGTTGAAAGTTATTACATTTGTGTAACGACAAAGACTAGAGACGTGCTAATCATCGAGCAAAAAGACAAAAGAGGGAATGTAAAGGTAGTGGGGGCAAACATATTGTTAGACAGGAAATGTCATCTTGAGAGGCCACATTAAACAAGGAAAGAGAAAACAGAGTCTCTTTCCTTGTTTAAGACGTCAAATTTGGTTGGTTATGTTATTGTTGGTTCCAACTGTCACATAAAATCTTATTTATATTGTAGTTTTTTAAGAATTGTGTCGTATTTTAGACTATTATCGTTAATATTTAATTAAAACTTTCTCGTCTAAGACACATTCTGAAACATATTTTATAACTACTGTTAATAAGTGTCGGAAAATTTAAATTTGGCGCATTCACATTTCCGGATATGTCCGCCATTAGAGGCCACTTTTTTGGTCTCTTTTTCATAATGATTAGATTTCCTCTTTTGTCTTTTTGCTCGATGGTGCTAATAGAGTGTGTGGTATGCGAATAAACGACATGTAAGAATTACTGCAAATATCATTAGTTGGAAGTGTTTAGGTATAAGTTATTGGTAGTATAAGATTTTTATATTCTTAAACGCACATGATAATGGCCTAAATACCAAGAATCGTAGAACTCTAAGAAGAGAATTAAATGAACTATGTCTGCTAATTTCTTTATCGTGAAAAACAGTACAGTCCTGACGATTTATCTCCTCTATGGACTCAGAGGGGATGTATGAGAGTGTAGAATTCTGTTATAGAGGTAGCACCTTTTATCAGTACGACCAGATCAAGCGTTATAGACGGGAAATTGTTCTTGATAACTGGTCCTCATAAGATAACTAAATCTCACTTATGGCTCCACGTACCACACCTCGGACAACTGCGTTGGTTTGCAGGCTAAACTAAGTGAGGGTGGCCAGATATGATGAAAATTCCACCGAGTGATTGCCGGTATAATCAATCCCCGTTTACTGACCAACAGCTTCGGGTGGAGGAACTAGCAAACGATAGGGCACCCCTTTATCCTGGAGTTGGGAAAATAGCTTCAAAGGCTGAAGTTACGAGTATAACAAAAAGATTAAAATGCAAAGAAGACATCAGAATAGGTACATGGAAAGTGAAAACCATGGCACAGGAAGGAAAATCCATAATGCAATATAAGAAATGGCACACATGAAATTAAATATTCTGGGAATAAAGGAAAAGCATTGGCCAGGTTCAGGAACGGCAAATATCGGGGAACACCGCGTTTACTATTCTGAAACAGATAACGGCAAACAGGAATTAGGTGTCGGCATTATATTGACAAAAGAAGTAGCAAAATTTGTTGATAACTTCATCCTAATCTCAGCAAAAGAAACACTCGTACAACTGAAAGCAAGACCAATCAACATCAATGTAATTTAAGTGTATGTATCTACAACAGAAGGAGTAGAGGTAAAAGAACTATACCATAGCATTAATCAAGTCGTGAAAAGGTTGACAAAGCAAGACCTAACAATTGTCATGCACTAGGTGGCGCTAGGAGTACAGAGTATCCTACAGGACAAACAGTGTGAGTTGTCGTCCTAGCCTTTTATATAGATAGATGGAATAAACGTTTACTCTTTACCTCTATTGCAGGTATATCTTTCTGAGGGACCTTGTTTAGTTCTTTTGAATATACATTGTTGGCAACAGTGTTGGCAATAACACAGAAAGTAATTACAACAATTATGAAAATTTTCCAGTATCAAACGCCTTATTCAATACAAAAAACAAACATACACATATAAGTTATGGTTTACATTTAGACACAATGTAATAAGACAAAAAAAGTAAGCGATGCCTCTGTAATTGCTAGTCTGTTTCTAAATCGACATTGTACCTGTCCAGTTAAGTTTCTTTTTAAATGTTCTACAATGATGTTTAAGAATATTTTCAGCTTATGATTGTATTGATGGTTCGGCGTTTGGAGCATATTAAATACATTATCATGCAAATATTTCTAGATACATATATATCCCTATATAAAAACTATAAAACCTGTCTAAAACCGGGCAGCTTATTCACTGTCACAATCACATCCATTGGCATTGTTATCGTAAGAAGAAATCTGAAATTATAATGATTAATTTAAAATTTCTTTGCGTCATTGTATATTTACAAACAATAATAAAACACTGATCATGTAACGAAAACCGACATGGTTAACAGAGATAAAAATTCTTGTACATATTTAAAGCATCATTCAATTCAAATAATTGAATGTGTATTTTGTGTTTAGAAGGGACGCTGTCTTTTATCTACAATAACCTATCAATATTTTTCTCAGTGTCTATTAAACTACTATGAAATGCTCCACACTCCATTGTCATTCACTGCCCCATTGATTTGCATTAGTACTTTTCTTTTGAAACCTCCTAACATGTTTTCATTATTTTGTTTTTGTTAGATTCCAGGTCTCTGAAGCTCTGAGGAAATTAAGCCCAAAATAGCATCTGTTGACAGTGCAAATTCTGCGGTAGTGTTTTCAGTGTTAAGGAGCGCTCAAAGATATACAATTTTTTTTACTGCTTCAATGACGTCGTAATGCTTTTTTGTGTGTAGTGCAAAGTATTCCAATATTCCAATCATTGGGGAGGGATTTCTGAGTCCATATTTCTTTTATAAGCTAATGTTATGCCATTATAGTATCATGCCCACCTGCTTTATATAGTTCAGCTGAGAGATAATCTATTCCGGGTAATTTGTTTCTGGCTAGTTTTTTAACTGCATCTTTAACTTCAAGAATTGTTGGTGGCTGCTCTTCCCTCTTGTCTGTTCCCCTTACCTCACCTCTTTCGTCTTCCAGGTTTTCTTTTTCTTCCTCTATATTAAGTGTCTGATTAAAGTATTTCACCCATCTATTCAATACATCTTTCCTTGTATTTGAATTCTTTTCTGTTGATGTTAACTTTCTTATAGAATGCTCTGAATTCCCTCTGTTGAGGTTTTCTATAGATTTAAGTTCTTTATTTAAGTGGTTTCGTTTTTTTCTTTTGTGTATCCTTCTTTCTTCTCTTCTGTGGTAATTTCATATAGTTGTTCTAATTCGTCGGGTAAGCATCTTTCTGTAGGCTTCACTTTTTTCTTTTGTTGCAGTCTTGCATTCATCGTCAAATCAATGATTTTTACGGGCACAAATTTCTGTTCCTATTTCATTCTTTGCTGCTGCTTCAATGTCTTCCTTTTTAATTTATTGGATAACTTAATAATATAAATGTAACCCAGGTCTGGTTGACCAAAGTTGCTTAGTACATTTATCGATGCCAGCGATGACTTACTAATTGATTATGACTATCCATATACATTTCGATAATCATATTCTCATTATTCTTAAAAATATTGCATGGTCGTATAAATAAAACACTGAAAGAAGGAATAGATGATAGTCAGTTTGGGTTCAGAAACGGACTAGAAACCAGAGAAGCGTTATTTGCATTTAATTTGTTAGCTCAAAGATGCATGGATATGAATGTTGATGTGCATGTTTGTTACGTTGATTTTGAAACAGCATTTGACAAAGTAAGACATGAAAAGTCCAAATTCTAAAGACCAAAAACATGGACCATGGGGACTTACGAATAATAACAAACCTCTACTGGAATCAAAGAGCACAAATCGTAATAGATAACGAACCAAGTCCAGAAATTGAAATCAGGAGAGGAGTTAGGCAGGAATGTATTATGTCCCCATTACTATTTAATGTATATAGTGAAGCCATTTTTGAAGAAGCATTACTATCTCAAAGTGAAGGAATAATAATTAACGGAAGATCTATTAACAACAAGATATGCAGATGACACCGTGATTATGGCAAGGTCTGCTGAACAACTCCAAATACTGCTAAACAAAACAAACAGTTTCTGTGAAAAATATGGACTAAAAATGAATATAAAATTGACCAAATTCATGGGTCATACATGGGATAGAAAGGGTTGATAAATACAAATACCTAGAAACCTCGATTTCAGACAATAATGATCTAACAACCGAAATAAGAGCCAGGATAGAAATAGCAAAAAATGCGTTGGTAAAAATGAAAACAATTCTCTGCAACAAAGACCTTAAATTAGAACTGAGAGTAAGAGCACTGAGATGCTACGTGTTTTCGATATTGCAATGTGGTCTTGAAAGCTGGACATTGAAGCAAGAACACATAAATAAGTTACAGTCCTTTGAAATGTGGTGTTACAGGAGGATGCTTAGAATAGCATGGACACAGAAGAAAGCTAACACGAAAGTATTGCGAGAAATGGGCAAAGAATGCGACATAATAAACACAATAAAAATTAGAAAGTTACAATATCTGGGACACGTAATGAGGGGACAGCGATATGAACTGCTACGCCTGATAATAAAGGGAAAGATAAAAGAAGGAAGGAGTATAGGAAAAAGAAGAGTGTCATGGTTAAAGAATTTAAGGGACTGGTTTAAATGTAGTTCTGTAGAACTCTTTAGAGCAGAAGTAGATAGAGTAAAGATGGTGATGATGATATCCAACTTCCGATTGAGAGATGACACTTAAAGAAGAAGAATAAAAAATCTTAGCTTGATAGACAGGGGTCTTTACATTCCTACATGCTACAACTTTGCAAGACTTCCTGTCTTATCCTTTTGTAATGTATATCGAAGCAGTTTTTAAATAAGTGGATTACAATTAGTTTCTAGTTAAAAATGTTGCTGCTCACGTTGATGAAATTACAATTCCACTTCAACATATAAAATTTATATCTAAAATATGCAAGACTTGTAACTTTTCTAATTAACAAAGAAACGGTGCAAAAACTTGTTCTACTCCGTATATTGCAAAGTAGTTTCTCTAGGATGTATTTAGTTTCACGCCGTGTTTCTATAAGGCCTTTTAAAAAATTACTGCTAGTAAATCCAGTTTTCGGTCACTATTTCATTACAAAATCCCCTTAATTAGCTCTTAATGTAATTACAGCCACTTAAAGACAAAAGCAATAAATTACGGAACTGCGGGAATGCATGTAGTGACATACAGAGTCGAACTTGTTAGCGAAAAGTGTCTTAAATTCCAAATTGGCCATTAAAGCCTTCCGTCACGTACTTCTCGTATCTACAGTTTGTCTTTGAACTTTGTGGGGTTAGCAAGCTTTAGTGCTGTAGTTGAGGAGAATGTTTTAGAGGGATTTACAAATATATTCAGTAAACAGCGAAATGTCCAACTTGTTAACAAAAGTTATCCATTAAAAAAGTATATTTTGGCCCTTAAATGTACGCCAGTAACATAGAAAGGATGTGATTGAATATAAAAGAATGACATTGTGTCATTGGATAAAACGGATCTAAATTTTAAACAGAAAATTGTCTTCAATGAATTAAAGCTGCCTAAACATTTCATACAGTTTACTAGTCATTGTAGTATCTCCATAAAGATCTCAGATTGTGCAGAGAAGCTGTGAACTGAAAAGGAGCTCTCCAGTACTTTGCCGAGGACACACTGGTTGGGGAAGTTCTCATCTCTGTCAAGACACGTTTTAATGTTCTCGATATTGGTGAAATGTAAGAATTTACATTAAACTTAATTTTTTTTAAATTCAGATAAGAAATCAGTAATCATCATCATTCTGGCTTTACAAACTTGCATGAGTCCTAGTCTCCTCAAGAATTTCTCTACAGTCGTCCCTATCAATCGCCTTTCTCCACCAAGCACCTATTCCCATAGTTCTCATGACTTCGTCGATGTTATCACGGAACCTTTTTCTAGGTCTTCCTCTTCTTCTTTGACCAATGGGTCTATCATGGAGCGTTTTTCTAACTGAGTCATTTTGTTCTATCCACATTATATGCCCTATCCATCTTAGACGTCCTATCTTAGTACGTTTAACGATATCGGGTTCCTGTTATATTCTATAAAGTTCGAAGTTGTATCGTGTTCTCCATACTCCATTGTCATTCACTGCTCCATAGATTCGCCTTAGTACTTTTTTTTTCGAAACATCCTAACATGTTTTCACAATTTTTTTGTTAGAGTCCAGGTCTGTGACCCAATAGTTAGGACTGGGCATATTATTGTTTTGTAGAGTTTTATTTTTGTATTTCTCGATATAATTGTGGAGTTAAGGAGGAGATTTAGCAAAGCATCTACCACCACCTCAGATTCGCTGACGACATGATTATAGCGAGCACATTCGAGCAACTGCAAATTATGTTGGTGGAACTAGCAGCCAGCTCCCAATACGTCGGCCTAAAAATGAATATCAAAAAAAAAAAAAAACAAAAATAATGACAAACACAGAAGACCCCAGACATATAACTATAAACGGCAGTGAGATAGAACAAATCCAGGAATATATCTACCTAGGCCAAATTCTGAGACTTGACAAAGAGAACCAAAGTGCGGAAATTACTAGAAGAGCAAGACTAGCATGGCAGGATTTGGAAAACTTAGTTGGATACTTAAGAACCGCAAAATACCCCAATACTTGAGGAGCAAAGTGTTCAACCAATGCATCCTTCCAATCATGACATATGGATGTCAAACCTGGACCCTAACCAAGGCAAACATGAATAAACTAGCCACAACAGAAAGAACAATGGAAAGAGCAATGTTAGGTATACGACTGTCAGATAAAAAGAGGAACGACTGGGTAAGATCCAAAACAAAAGTCGAGGACATAACAATAAAAATTGCAAAACTTAAATGAAGCTTCGCGGGCCACACTGCTAGACAGTGTGGCCCGCAAAGTAAACGACCAAGAGGAAGACCACAGATGAGATGGGTTGATGACATTAAAAGAATAGCCGGAACAAATTGGAAATATGTTGCTTAGGATAGAGACCGATGAAAATAGTTGGAAGAGGCCTATGTCCAAACATGGACGACAGAAGGCTAAGAAGAAGAAGAAGAAGTGAACTAGTGAAAGACTGACTGAAAGAAAGAAATAGTTCCGAACTACTTGTACGGTAGTGAACTAGTGAAAGACTGACTGAAAACCGAAGTAAACGGGCGGCCAGCGCCAAGCTTGTGTGATGATTGAGACGAGACATCTGGCAACCAGTTCTGTTAGGGTTGGATTTCGATGTCGGTCCTACAAATAGTTCTTTCGCGAACTAGTTCACTGAACTAGTTCATTTTTGTGAAATAGTTTTGTTGAACTAGTTCGTCTAAAAGAACTAATAAGCACACCTCTATTATGTATTAGTTGCCTATATCTCGAGTCTATTCTACAATTATTAATAGCTTGTTCTATGGCCCACATCTCGATACTATCAAACGCCTTTTCATAGTAGACGAAGGCAAGAAATACGGGTAGTTGGTATTCATTTGCCTTCTCTATCAATGTTCTCATTGTCAGCAGATGGTCTGATGTACTATATCCTTTGCGGAAGCCAGCCTGTTCAACCGGTTGGTAATTATCCATTTTGTAGGTTAACCGGTTATTAATAATTCTCATAAATAGTTTGTATACTTGACTGAGCAACGATATAGGTCTATAATTCTGTAGATCACATTTGTCTCCTTTTTTGTGTAAGATTATTACTAGACTCTCGTTCCAGTCTTTAGGGATCTGGCTATTATGAAGACATATATTAAACAGCTCTGTTAGTACAGGGATTGTTAATGTCTTGCTTGTTTTCAAGAGCTCGGCAATTATACCGTCGTGTCCTGGAACTTTATTATTTTTTAGTTCTTTTAAAGCTCTTTCTAAAACGGACCATAATATTGTAATATTTAGTGCAAATCGCCTTTATATTTTGTCACGAATATGTTGACTTTATTACACGGTGAATAAATGTCTGTAAGAAATGTATCCAAGTGTTGCTACGCCACTGGTAGCAATTAACTTATACTTCTTAAAATCTACCGAGGTAAATTCTCCAGCAAATTTTCATGAAAGCCGATAATGTATTCAAAAGATATTTTTACCCACAGATTAACTTTCTCCGACCAATTGAAAGCATTCAAAAGGTGGTTTTTACCTACCTCTGTATAGACATCTCGAAGTTGTCCCCCGAAAACCCCTTGGCAATAATTAGGCATTGCAATCAGAATTTTAAGTATTCAGTATCGTTGTAGTATTCGACCAAGGGGGTCGACGCATTCCTTGGTTATAGTTCGTATAACTCACACCTAGCATTCATTGTCACATATCAGTTAGTATCGCATACACTCATTCTTGGTTCAGAATGTGTCAGTAGTGTCTCGCGGACTAGTAAAAAGTGGACAGTGATCAACGGTTTCAGTAAAAGAACTTACGTATTGTATATCAGTAAATTACGTATTGTTTAAAATGCTTGTGTTCTTATTTCCCACGTTAGGGGGTGGTCCTTCGATTTGGAAATAATTACATGATTTAGTAGCTCTAAATGGGCAACCTCACACTATGCAAAAATTGGAGAGGAATAACCTTGCTTACCACCATAAATAAAATCTTCACGACCATCATACTTAAAAGATTAACAAACAAGGTTGAATTTCGAGCTAATCAAGTAGGCTTTAGACCAGAATCCTCCTGCATAGACCACATTAATACTGTAAGGCTAATAATGGAACAATCGGTTGAATGGAACACACCCCTATACATGGTTTTTCGTGATTTCGAGCGTGCTTTTGACAGCTTATCTCATGATGCGATATGGAAAATTTTAGAGCTAAGAAACATCCCGCATAAAATAATTTCCATTATAAAGTTACTGTACACTGAAGCGAAATGCAGCGTGACACACAATGGGATCAACAGTGACGAATTTGACGTACTTACTGGAGTCAGACAGGGATGCGTGCTTTCTCCGTTTCTTTTTAACATAGCTCTAGACTATGTTCTCTCCAAACTAGACTCTGACACAAGAGGGATACAATGGACGTTAACCACACGCCTAAGCGATCTAGAATACGCCGACGATATCTGCCTGTTAGGACAAAGGTTCCAAGATGTGGCTGACCAATTGAAAACACTTTCCACTGAAGCCAATAAAATAGGTTTGAAAATCAATATTGGTAAAACCAAATCCATGAGAATAAATGCAAGAAACAACACGCTATTCACCATTAATAACATGCAGATTGAAAATGTGGAAAACTTTACGTATCTTGTAAGTGTCGTAACAGAAAGCGGAGGTACAGAAGACGATATTCGTATGAGGATACCAGAAGCGCAACAAGCTTTCAGCATGCTTAACCCTGTTTGGAGGTCTGGAGACTACACTACGAGGACAAAGATCCGCATATTCCAGTCAAATGTCATGTCTGTACTACTTTACGGATGTGAAACCTGGAAAGCGACAAAAACCCTTACAGACAAACTGCAGGTCTTTGTTAATAAATGTCTACGAAGAATTGTTCGTATTTTCTGGCCTAACATCATCAGAAACGAAGATTTACTACACCTGACCAAACAAAAGAGGGTAGTAAATGAAATAAAGTCCAGAAAGTGGGGTTGGATCGGTCACACACTCCAAAAAAATAACTCCAGTATTGCAAAGACTGCCCTAGAGTGGAATCCCCAAGGAAAACGAAAAAAAGGTCGCCCAGTACAAACTTGGAGAAGATCCATCATG